CCTTCTTCAGTGCTCCATTCTGCTGCTTTGAGCTCCTCCACCTCGGCAGTCTTGGCTTGCAGCTCTGACCTGAGCTCCTCTACCCTTCCATTCACTTTTGAAAAACTTGGAAAGACATGTTTGCCATCTAGCCTCTCTGTCTCATGGTCTCCCAAAGGAATCTCTACAAACCCTACAGCAGATGGACTAGAGGAGCCAGAAGAGGGCCAGTGGCAGCAGAGAGCAGAGCTGACAGCATCCTGTCCACCAATAATAAGACTCTACTGCACCATCTTTCTTCTCCCATGAATCATTTTACAACCTTTCAGATTTATCTTGACTGACCTCTAGGTTGGGAACCACTGGACAAGCTACCTACAGTAACTGTACATATACATATCTTTTGGGTAGTATGTTTCTCCCCAGAATATCTGGGTAATCATTTGATTGTGCCCGGCACAGATTCTAGGTGCTGCAGACCAGCTGAGCCTTCTCCAGGTGTCTCAGGGTTCTTTATTTTGAAAGCTTCATTTTTTATTTCTGTGAACATACTGTGGAGCTGTAGCTCTCAGTTTGTTTAATCTGTCCAAAAGACATTCTCCCTAAAGCACTGTGGCTTGTCCATGTGCTTTTTAGCAAACCCCACTTGGTTATTAGGATTCCCTTTCAAATGGGCTCTTCCTGGGCCTTATTCCATGGAGCTTGTTCAGAAAGCAACATATGGTGTGAGTGGCACATTTGGACCACAGCTTGTCTCTGTTTTGAAGTTTTCCTTGGTTATTTTTCCACCATTCAAACTTTCCTTCTGTTCACTTTGGGCTCGGTTGAAATATCACTACAATCCATGTATTTATCACCACTTCTGGGTACTAGTGTTTTTGTTCAGGGCATTATAGGAGATCATTGTAGAACAAGTTAAGAATTCAGCTCTTTTCCCAGCATCTCTGTTTTATTCCAGATGCATGCAAGTATACATGAAAAAAGAGTTTTTAATGTAAACACAAATGGAGCATTGTTTCAGTGAGGTGTAAGGTCCCAACACTTTCAGCTACATCTCTGTGTAGGGACCACCATTTAAAGCAGACGTCTTGCACTGAAGTACATACAGTTGTACAGGTGTGACTATTAAAGTAGCCGGGCAGTGTATTATTCAAGATACTTGGCATTTATTATATTTCATGTAGTACACTGATAAATAGCATTTTAAGAGTAGCCCAACTGATTATATGCATTGATGTACAGAGCTCTAATTTACTTCACATTCAACATCCGTGCCTGGCTGGCTAGCTAACTATTACCTAGTTACATCTAGGTCTTACCTTCCCTCACCCTCATCTCTCTGAACCTCTATCTCAGCCTCTGTCTCTGAATTTTCTTATGTTCATCTACAGGAGTCAGTAATGTTTGAGTCAAAATAAGCTATTGGTATTATTTAAAAACTTTTTTTAGTCCCTGTCACATACCTCAGTTTTGTGCACAGTACATGGATTGCTGCATGTGCAGTGTAGCAGCTACGAAGTGCATATGCATGTACTGTGGTGTACGAGCCTTGGCCCACTTGCATCTCAGGTTGTATTTTGCAAATTGCAAATAGTTTGTTTCCACATTATTATCAATCTAAATGAATCCACTGCCAAATATACAGTAGGAGCTTGTTAAAGGTTGAACATGTGAATTTAGTGGGGCACAGCAGCTCAATACTGGGGCACATGCCCCAGTAAAAAGGGTCAAAAGACGCCCATGGTATGCAGTTTTGTTTTAAATTAAGTGATAACAGTGTTTATATGTTTCTTTTTTCTTTACACTTTTGTTGACTCTTGTTTTGTAGAGAGAATTGTGTCAAGAAGGTGTTTAGGCCTATACCGTCTTGGGTTTTGTTTTACACTGAATTATCCTGTAGTTCTATTTTGTATAGACTACACCCTCTTGGGCTCATCCCTCGTGCATGCGCAGTCCTTAAGAGACTTCATTTGCGCCCTGTGCCCTGCACTGTCTTGCTGCCCAAAGCAGTGTTCTCTAGTAGGAGAAACTAGAGAATGGGCACAATGTCAGCCAGCCATGCGGTGGTCCCTCTTGGTCTCTTCCACATGAAAAAGCTCCAGAGGTGGTTCGGTCACCTTCACCTCAAGCCCATACGGCACAAGAGGCGCATGTTAAAAGTCCCCCCCTCTGTCCAGTTGGACCTTTCGTACTGGAAAACCCCCGGCGACATGGCGACGGGTGTTCCCCTCGTCAGAGTCATGTCACACATATCGGTGTTCACAGACACATCTCTGCTCAGGTGGGGAGGCACGTGCAGAGAGGCAGGCTCTGGGGGACTCTGTTCCCCCACATCAACTGTCTGGAGCAGGCCATGGTGATGAAACATTTTGCACCAATACTGAGAAACAAACATGTAGTGGTGCAGTCAGACAATACAACAGCCATCACATACATCAACCCGCAAGGCAGTGTCATCTCTGCCCACTTGCTGGAAATAGCATGGAGTCTCCTACTTTGGGCCCACCGGAACCTGTGCTCCATCAGAGTTGTGCATGTTCCGGGTGAGCAGAACCACACTGTGGATTTAATGTCACTGGGCAGGCTTCAGCCAAGCAAGTAGAAACTGAACCCGTCCCTCATACAGACACTGTGGGACAGGATTGGGCAAGCAGGAGCAGATCTGTTCGCAGCTCGTGGCTTTCGATGAGCACATTCACTTATAACTCCTGGCCCAGAGGTCTCATTTATACATTTCCTCCAGTCCCACTTATCCCGCACCTCCTCTCCTGCATACAGGATGAGTGGCTGCGTGTCATCCTGATAGCCCGAGCGTACGGGTGGAGCGTAGTTCCCAATGCTGGTGCAGCTGCTGTCGGGCAAGCTGTGGCAACTCCTGTGGCACAGACATGCTCTCCCTGGTGGACAGCGCAATTCAACAGTATCCCATAATAGGACAGTGCCTGTGAGCTTGGCCCCTGAACGAGAATTACTTGGAGAGCCTAAGCTTGCCTCCAGCAGTTGTGCATACGATTCAGAGCACAAGAGCCCTGTCAACTATGGCTTCTTACATGGTGAAATGGTCTGCTTTTCAGCTGTGGTGTGTGGAGAGAGGCACAGCTTCCACGTCATGCCTGCTGGCACAGGTGCTGGTTTTCTTACAGACCCTGGTAGACAGGGTCTGGCTATTGTGAAAGCGTATGCTGCAGCCATTTCATCCTGCCATGAGGGTTTTTGGTGAGAGATCTGTATTCATGCACCCACTGGTGAAATGCTTCCTGAGCTGAACTCTGGCACGCCCTACACCTTTTCTGGTAAGCCTGTCATGTCGGACACGGGGGAGCCAGGGCTTCTGGTGGGATGAGAATCCCCTCGCGATCTTCCGCCTTTTTTTTTTATGATGTCTGGCAGACTGCAGAGTGGAGCCCCGAAGGCCAGAGGCTGGCCGGTGGTGGGAGGGTGCTGCTGCACCGAAGGGGGCTCTTTTCCATTGGCATCCATGTTGGCTGATGGGTCAATGGGAAGTTCAAGGAACTTTGCTCTTTAGACATAGCTCTAGGAATTGCTCTTTAGAACTGCTGAAGAAAAAGAGGGAGCCAAACTCCGGTCACATAGACTACGTTCACACTGCAGGTCTTAATGCTCAGATCGGATTTTTCGCCGAAATCCGATTTTTTTTGCGCTATTGTTCACACTGTCATTTAAATGCGACTGCCATCTGTCTCATGTGTGAACGGTATACCGCCCTGAGGTGACCCGCATGCGCAGAAGAGGACGTGATGTCAGACGCAGCGTACTGTGTTTGCGAAAATAAAAATGGATGCGGCTCGTGATAGCATGTGTGTAGCGATGTACCAGTTAATGTGCAATTGAAATAAAGAACTAATAATAAGAAGAAGAAGAAGGAGAGCACAAATATTGCTTATGGCCTCGCCTCCTCCAGCGCAAAATTGTGACGTCTGTCGCATATCAATGACATAAAAATCGCATGAAATGCGACCTGGCCATTCAGACTGAAGTCGCATTGCAAAACATTGGATATGTATCCGATTTAGGACCACATATGAAAGTAGCCTGGGCCGGATTTGAAAAAAATCGGATTTGTGCTGTTCACACTGTCATAAGGAAATCGGATATGGGTCACATTTGGGCAAAAAGATCGGATTTGAGTCACTTCAGCCTGCAGTGTGAACGTAGTCATAGGCTTTTATTCGGCCCCAGCGGACCTGAGTGCAGGGCACAGGGCGTGAAAGAAATCTCTTCAGGACTGCGCATGCGCGAGGAATAAACCCAATAGCGACAGCTCCTGGAGGGCGAAGCCTGTACGAAATAGAACCATTGGTCTATGTTACAGCAATATCCTTAACTGTGAACATATTCTCTTAACATGTTATTACAAAATAATAGGAAATGTATGATCAGATTTAATTCCTGAGAGAATGGGAAGAATATTTGCATGTATTTCGAAATATAGGATACTGTGTGAGTTAATCTACTGTATATATTCACGTTTTTTTGTATTAGATTAATCCACATAGCTAGCCTACAGTAAGCTATTAGAGGTATCCTATATATTGTTGAGTCTAGCATGTTCTGAACTATCCTCAGTATCTTCACGAAAACACATTTGAAGGCCGGGATTATGCGATATGTGACCGACAAACCGTAACCTACTATTCTGCTGACATAATTTAAATATGCTGCGGGTTACCAGTCCAGTCAGCGGCATTTCATGAGGAGGACATGTTATTAGAGAGAGGGGGAATGCTGCATTCAAATGATCATTATACTGGAGGATGGAAAAACGTAGCGGATTCGTGTGGTTTTGGACACATAAACAAGGAAAATAAACCTGAAAGATGATGTAGCTATTGTTTGATCCTAATGATTTGACGAGAAAAGGAATGGCAGCAATAGTTTAGGAAGGCTAATAATATACATCTAACGAATAATACTACATAGTGAAACAAGCACATTTGTGCTAATGTGTAAGCTGTTCTATTTTCTATACCTCTGGGAACTTGAAATAAATCATAGTTCACCGTATCGTTGGGTCGTCCTTGACTAGTTACGCTGTGATTACGATATTTCTCACAGCGTCTGAATGTAGCGAAAACCTCTGGCGGTGACGGAGCAGCTTCAGAAAAGCGACAGGGACCTGTCAGCATCGTCTCATACGGTAGCAGGACAGAAAGGTGTGAAACTATCGGTCATCTGGAAAGTCTGAAGGCAGTACATGGAGACGACAGTGTTTTGATAATTCTGTCATTCAGTAAAAATGCTAGCATGGCTGTCTCGGTTGGCTGCTTTGGCAGTAGAGCAGCGCCAAGTTACATGCATTGCTACGTTGGCTAACCTCGCCTTAGCATAGTGGTGCTAGTCCTTGCTATAGAAAAATTTCTATGGTGGAGGCTAGCTAACGCTAGCCTGCTTGAGCTAATGTTAGCTTGCCGGTTAGCTTCTCGTATCATTGTTAAAACTACATTTGATATTGTCTAGCTAACTTATATATTCCGATTGCTGTTGTGGAGATATTTTGGAAATGACACTGCTTAGAAAGAGAAGTATAACGTTGGCTGTCAGCTTCTCACTGTGTCGCACCTCTTTGAATATTTGACAGCTCCGTGTTAGCGGAGCTATGGAGACGCCGGGGAGGATTGCAGCCACACCGGACTCCTTGGATTTTACCGTGGAAAACGTAGAGAAGGTGAGTTTTTGCACCAGTTATCGTCAGCAGCATATCACTCTGTACAGAAATTGGGAATTGGGTGTACCAGCTAATGAAGTGATCATGTTTTAGATGAGATAATGTTATACGGGTTAAGAAGGAAAGCATGAGATGCCTGGTAGCCACAACATAACATTTCTTTCTGATTTCGTTTAGAGAGATGATGTGTCTGTATTTGTAACACATTATAGAGATTCAGTTCATCGGTACCAATAACGTCTGCCCTCATGTTTTCAGATTAGTCTTGGCTAAATGGTTAATAATCAGAAAGAGTGATCAGATGGGAGTAAAATAGGTTGTAGCCAGCCTATTCTTTGCCGTCATTGTAAAACTGTTGTCAGGGTCTTTCTTTTCTCTGTTTGTGTGTGTGCTACTTTCTTGGCAATGTTGACTGTGATTCCCAGGTTTCTGTAATGAATTTCCCTGCAGGATGGCCACCGACTCCCAGAGGAGGGGATAGGTTGGGAGGATAGGTGAGGAAGGTCCTCCTGTGGAAGAGCAGAGTTGATGTGATGAGGGGAGGGAGGCTTAGAACAGGGTGGATGTCTGTGATGGTACCATTAAGAAAGAGGAGGACGTGAGAGGAGATGCAATGGGGGGGAATCCATAGTGCAGTGTTTGGTGTCTGCCATAGATGCACCTTTGGCTGCAATCACACCACTGAGTCTGTGTGGATAGATCTCAGTCAGGCGTACACATCTGGATACTACAGTTTTACTCCATTCTTCTTTGCAAATCTGCTCAAGCTCTACCAGCTTGCACAGGGATCGGGTGTGAACAGCCCTTTTCAAGTCCAGCAACAAATTCTCCATTGGATTGAGGTCTAGGCTTTGACTCGGCCACTCCAGAACTCGCACCTTGTTGTCTTTAAACCATTTCTGTGTAACTTTCGCTGTATGCTTCAGGTCATTGTCTTGCTGGAAAATTAATCTTCTCCCAAGCCGTACTTCTCTTGCAGACTGAAGAAGATTGTCCTTCAGGATTTTCCTATATTTTGCTGCATTCATTTTACCCTCTACCTTTACAAGCCTTCCAGGGCCGAGGATCCTCCCCATAGCGTGATGCTGCCACCACCGTGCTTCACAGTGGGGATGGTGTGTTTGTGGTGATGTGCAGTGTTTGGTGTCTGCCAAACATAGCGTCTTGTCTGATGGCCAGAAGGCACCATTTTGGTCTCATCAGACCAAAGAAGTTTCACATGCCTTTGGCAAACTCTAGTCAAGATTTAATATGAGTTTTCTTCAACAGTGACTTTCTCTTTTCCACTCTCCCATAAAACTTTGACTGATGAAGAACCCGGGCAACAGTTGCTGTATGCAGAGTCTCTCCCATCTCAGCTGTTGAAGCTTGTAACTCCTTCAGTCATAGGTGTCTTGGTGGCCTCTCTCACTAGTCTTCTTCTTGCACAGTCACTCACTTTGTGAGGACGGCCTGATCTAGGCAGATTTAGACATGTGCCACGTTCCTTCCATTTCTTGATGATGGATTTAACTGAACTCCAGGGGACGTTCAGTGCCTTGGAAATGTTTTTATATCCATCCCCTGACTTATACTTTTCAGGAACCTTTTCTCTGAGTTGCTTGGAGTGTCCTTTTGTCTTCATGGTGTAATGGTAGCCAGGAATACTGATTAACCAGTGACTGGACCTTCCAGACACAGGTGTCTTTATACTACAGTCACTTGAGACACATTCACTGTGATCCCCATTTCACTAATTGTGAGACTACTAGCACCCATTGGCTGGGCCTCTGTTCAATTAGGTCAGTCATTTTAAAGACAGTGAATATTTATGCACTCACTTATTTCCCATTACTTATTTTATTTAATTGACATTACTATGTAGAAACCTGTTTTCACTTTGACATTAAAGAGGTTTTTTGTAATATTTTTTTTGTCAAAAAAGCCAAGTTAAATTGACAATGATTGATTTATAAAATCAATAAAAGGTTAAAACATCCAAGGGGCTGAATGGCTACAGAATCAGCACAATCCTGGTCATTCAGTGGAATAAGAGGATGACAGTAGGTTTCTTTAGAATCTGTCTGTGCACCTTAAAGTGCCATAATTGTATTTGCGTCAGACCACCAGCTTAATGCCTTTAAAAGAATCTGAGATGTTGCTCCTTTTTGCCAAACAGTCACAGTAGCAGGTAACTGTAAACACACATTAAACCGTCTGATGACCATTAAAAAGTCAAGGGATGGTGGTTCTTGGCCCTATATTTGTGTCCAATAGAAAGTCCTTTGTTCAGTCTTGGGTCTGTGAAACAAAGTACTGCATTGTCCATTTCTTTGTTTGTATAATGAATGGGTTTGTTTACTCCATCACATTTTCGCTTAAATATAATTAGCTTTAGAATCACTATCTACCCAGCAAGTGGATCTTATACTAAATTCAGAGGTCAGCTATGTGCTCTTGAACAGTATGCGGTTAGGATGTTGTAATTTTGCACATCTCCCTCAAGACACTAAACCACATATCACCAGAAAGAAGAGCAGGACAGTACTGGGTCAGCATCTTGCCCAAGGGCACCATGGTTTCTGTTACCATAACTAACTGTATCACCTTGTCACTTCACAGTAAGCAGCCCACAGGAGGCTTTCAAGGCTCATTCAGTGGTGCTTAGATCCAAGGCTCTTGGCTTGTGGTTGCACGTCTGCCATTTGAAAATGATGTATTCACTTGCTGTCTTCTTATTAAATAGTTTTATGGAATTTAAAAGCAGAGGAGATTATTTAAAATGTCAGCTGACATATTACAGATCATAGCAGGGCAGAGAAATCTGACAAAGAAATGCTGTGTGGTGTATTGAGTAGGGCTGTGGTGGCTGGAGAGGCTATTTCAGAAGGAAAAGAAGAATCATGACAGAAATATCAAAAAGTGGATCATGTCTTTTTGTCTTGTAGGTTACATGATACAAAGTGTACAATGCCTGACTTATACTTTTCAGGAACCTTTTCTCTGAGTTGCTTGGAGTGTCCTTTTGTCTTCATGGTGTAATAGTAGCCAGGAATACTGATTAACCAGTGACTGGACCTTCCAGACACAGGTGTCTTTATAGTACAGTCACTTGAGACACATTCACTGTGATCCCCATTTCACTAATTGTGAGACTACTAGCACCCATTGGCTGGGCCTCTGTTCAATTAGGTCAGTCATTTTAAAGACGGTGATTATTTATGCAGTGACTAATTTTCCATTATATATTTTTATTTAATTGACATTAGGTTTGTAGAAACCTGTTTTCACTTTGACATTAAAGAGGATTTTTTGCAATTTTTTGTCAAAAAAGCGAAATTATATTGACCATGATTGATTTACAAAATCAATAAAAGGTTAAAACATCCAAGGGGGTGAATACTCTTTATAGGCAATGTACATGTCATAGTACATAGTTTTCCGTTTTATGTTGGTAGGCTTGGGGATAGTAGTATACTGTATTCACTGTAGGTGATCAGTGTTATGAATTATGTGTTGGCAAAGGTAGTTGTCAATGTTCCTGACGTGCATGTTAAGACACTCAGTACAAGGGTTTATTTGCTGTTCATGTGCTGAGATTTTGTCACTATTGGCAACATGGTATTCTTAATTTCTGTCTTGGCTGCATGCTGTCAACAACCACCCACGCACCCTCTCGCACAAACTATTCTTTGTTCCCTCATTAATCATCATTCCTTTTGCATGCCTTTGATTGTCACAGTTATAGCATGGTGTCATAATAGGTCAGTGCTGTGATGGTGCCTTCTGCAGCACAACATCCAGCATTACCCACCCACCATTACAGTGACTTTGAGTGTGATGTTCTAGTGGACAGATGGCTTGCAACTACAGTGAACCTCAGCAGAGAGACATGCAATTACCTGCAGTGTATGAACACTGTGCAAAGATATGGCAACCTTGTGTGAGGGTAAGCTTGTACAGTTAAGTCTCATAAGCATGTGGGGAGAGAGATTTCTATGGTGTTTATGATCTACCCTCTTTGTCTAAATCTCCAGCTTTGCACTTGCTTTTAATTTAAATAAGCTAACTCATTTGTCAGGGACACTTGCTCCTGCCTCATTATTTTGTCCCACACTATAGTTATTCTCCTGGGCTCAGAAGTGAGTACACAAGTATAGACCAGCTACAGTAAATCCATGATTATGTATGAGAGCAGATAATGAATCTAACTGAGCAGTGTTTTTCCCTTGCATCCCTCTTCCCTTCCTCCTCCTGCTGGAAAAGGAACAGGAGAGGAGGCTAATGACCTATGACGATGTCTGCCAAGAGCATGCCAACCTCAGGTGAAGCCAGGCGGTTCAGGCAGTTTGCCACCATCTGTAGTTACAGTTAGTTGCTTCAGCTCGATTTTCACGGGTCTGCGTGATTTTTGCTTATGTTAGGAAGTAATTAATATTGGACAATTACATTTGGTTATTGAAGATAACTGCTGCATGTCTGGTGTGTTTTCTAGGAGGAGACAGGCAGTGGTTCTTTGTGAGAAGATTAAAGCAGTGAAATGAACATACTGTTTTGTGTCTAGTGCTTTGATAATAAACCTGGGAAGGACAGACACGCTCAGGCACAGTTTGGGATTAGATAAGGAGAGGTCTGTGATCACAGTGGACTGCAGTAATGATCTGCTGCTGCTTTGAACTTGGATATCATAGCCTTGTTTACAGAAAGGACAGAGTGGTGCTGACTAACAAAAGCCATCCTAATGGTGATGCTTTTTAGTATGAAGGCATGATAATGATCCACAGGAAGACTGTGCCAAATCACTACACAATAACAGGGTCGTATTTCATTAGTCCTGTGATGTAGCTCTTCCTACATTAATCGGTTCAAATTTAAAGAAAAACAAAACTCTCTCAGAAACCTGAACATGGCAGAGGTTAATGTTAGTGGAGTTCAGAAAGCTAACAGCTGAGAAAAAGTCAAAGACACACAAGACCTGCATCTATAGCTCTGACCTGCACTTTGTAAACAATGTGCTCATTAACACCCAGTCTGCCATGTTCAAAGTCCCATACAATATGTGGAGACATATAAATCCATAGTGGGAAGAGACTGTCTTCTTCCAGTAGGTATTGACACTTTATGTTCTCTGGAGCTGCAGTTGCATTGTCATACTCTGTGGCCCATCATGGTTTCCTTAGTATTATTCATCCTCCCTTGTTATATAGCCTAAACTGCTGTAATAAGACAATGGGGAGAAATGTAAGTTTTAGAAGAAGAGTGAGATGATGAAAGAGAGCTGAGGGATGGAATGAACCGGGCAGGACAGTTGAGGCCTGAGGGAGGAAAGGATGGTGAATGGTGGAGGAATTGATGTGAGCAGGCTTCTGGGGTTAGAGACAAGGATCAGGAGCTCACTGAATAGATTTTTTCCCTGTGTTGCTTGGCAGACACTTAGTGCTGGCTGCCACCGGTTTTGGTTCATTGAGCATATCCATTTGTGTGTGTGACAGAGAGAAAAACAAACAGGCTTTACAGGAGTAGTGTCTGAACCTCTACTCCGGTATTGCCAGGATTAGAAGTGTCTGTTTAATTAATACCTCATCCTTCATCTCCTTTCTCTTTGGCTTGCTCATTCTTTTTCTCCCTACACTCAACTACTCCAATTACTCAGAGCCATACTTCAGAGAGTGCTCTTTTCAGGTCTTCACTTTCTCTATTGTTCAGGTTTTTGAAGGTAAGCCTTGTACTGTGTGCCTGTGTGTTTACAAGTGAGAAAAGATGCTCTTTTCTTAAGGTATACAGCTTTTTCCACCAAAGAAGAGCTCAAAGAGCTGCATTTGTCTTGACCCACCTGGTCTGTTCTGCCTGACACCCACCATTCTCAATGTGTGGAATGTAGTCGCAAACATTTCTCTTATTGACTTTGCTAGTACAAAGTTTTCAACCTTCCACAAATTTTTTCAGTGTTATATTTCTCTTTCTCCTTTCTGTTTAGGCCCTTCACCAGTTGTACTATGACCCCAATATAGAAAACAAGAATCTGGCCCAGAAATGGCTAATGCAGGCTCAGGTGTCACCTCAGGCCTGGCAGTTTTGCTGGGTCCTACTTAGCCCAGATAAGGTACAGTGTACACACATTCACAAAAGATAAACGCACACTGGAAAAACATTTGGTGTCATTTGTATCCATCTCGTCACTTTTCACAGGTGCCAGAGATCCAGTACTTTGGTGCTAGTGCACTTCACACCAAGATCTCTCGTTATTGGTCGGACATCCCCACTGACCAGTATGAGTCTTTGAAGACCCAGCTGTTCTCCCAGATTGCCTGCTTCTCCTCCGGCTCCAAGATGGTGCTCACCCGGCTGTGTGTGGCCCTGGCCTCCCTGGCACTCAACACAATGCCCGAGGCCTGGCCAGGTGCAGTGGCGGAGATGGTGCGGGTGTTCCAGGAGGAGGGAGGAGGGGTGGATGGACGGGCACGCTGCCTAGCATTGTTCCAGACCAGCCGCCTGCCGCAGTATCGAAAAGGACAGGTATGTCTTCAGGTACCACCCTATGCCCCCTCTACAGGTGGTGATAGCCACCTCTGCAATGTTCTCAAGTTTTATTTGGATTAATTTGTTCATCAGTAGGTATCAAACCTCACTACTTGTTTAGAACTGACTCTTAAATCAGTGTTACTATTATCAAGCAGCAAAAGCTGCTAGTCAATGGTTTTGTCAGACTTAGTGTTGTGTCTTGGTATCATTTATGTTATAGTTTTGCTCATTTTATGTCAGCAAAGTTACTGTACACTTGATTGTGGTATGACATTAAGCAGTGGCATTTTGAGAGGTTTGGCTTTTGGCAAAAGAAATAAAAGGATGTTTGTGGAAATTAAAGGTTCATATTCTAGAAAGTATGGTATTAAATCATGTTTATACTGTTGACAGTAAAAAAAACAAACAAACATAAAACTGTATTTTAATGGCACCATTATGAAGAAACTTTGGATGACGCTTAGCCCTACTCATCATGCAGATGGACATACTACATTAACGATACACCTGCAGTCTAACCGTTCGAAGGTGTGCAACTATAAAACACTTCGTCCTCCAATCTTCTGGACTGCTTCACAGACAGGGGGTTGACATCTGTGAAGTTGCTGCTGACAAGTCAGCTTAAACACGGAAGACAGACCGAACAGATGGTGGGAAAATGATTAATGGCAGAGGAGTTACAGGTAGAACATACTCAGTCTCAGCAAGTGCTGCTGGGCTCCTAGGATAGACTAAAGCCCTCTTGTCTGTTTAAGACAGGATTCTAGTGGTGTTTTGCTGCACTGCTGTTCTGTGTAAAAGGTAAACCTGGAATGGTGGGGCAGTGTTGACCCTGCATCATGCCAGCAGTGGAGCTAGTAAAATTGCTGCATCATGCCAGTTTGATGTCTGAAAGCAAAGCGGCGGCTTTGGGGCTAAAGGGCCTGATGCTTTGATGACTGGCCTGTTATTTCTGCAACCTACCACTGAGATTGTTTCTCCTTCAGCATATGTCTTATCGCATAAACATGTTGCCTGCATAAATCTGAATCCCTCACCATAATCATTAACATGTTGTCGAAAGATTTAACCTCTTCTACTTACCTTTCATGGTGATTCTAATGGCCCGGGAGTGGGGGTCAGTGTGTCCCTTATTGCAGCAACTGCTGCGACGGACGGACAGCCCGGGGGCGGTGAAAGCTCGTGTGCTGCGCTGCCTGTCATCGTGGGTGCTGCTGGATGTGCCCCTCAGCGAGAGCGAAGGCCTGGTGCATGACTGCTTCAGTGCACTGCCTGACCCAGAGCTCTTTGACACAGCGGTGGAGGCAGTAGTCAATGCTATCTCACAGCCTGACTCCCAACGGTGTGTACAAATGTGTGCCAGTGTGTGCTCACACTTGCATGCCGATCCAGAAACACAAGGCAGAAGAAAGAAATAACCGTACTATGGCATTAAAGCTTGTAATGGTAGATTAGAAAATACACTGGAGCAAAAATGGAGGTAGAAGGAAGCGAGAGAGGAAAAAAGATGCATTAGTCAAGGGCAAGAAACAGGGTGGGCACTGGAAGGTTAACAGAAAGGGAGGGAGGGAGAGAGGGAGAGATTGATACAGGGCAAATTGACAGCTAAGGGGAAGGAGAGCAGTATTTCTTGGTTGGCTGGCGTTGCTATGGTTACAGAGCTGGGGAGAGTTATCATCATGCCCTGGTTGATTCAGACATGGCAGGCACCCATTACCCCTCCCCCTTGAGAGGAGGAGAGGGAACGAGAGAGAGAAGGTGGGGGTGACGGGATGATGCAAAGAGAAGAAAGGTACTAAAGGGAAGGTGTGCAACTATAAAACACTTCGTCCTCCAATCTTGTGGACTGCTTCACAGACAGGGGGTTGACATCTGTGAAGTTGCTGCTGACAAGTCAGCTTAAACACGGAAGACAGACCGAACAGATGGTGGGAAAATGATTAATGGCAGAGGAGTTACAGGTAGAACATACTCAGTCTCAGCAAGTGCTGCTGGGCTCCTAGGATAGACTAAAGCCCTCTTGTCTGTTTAAGACAGGATTCTAGTGGTGTTTTGCTGCACTGCTGTTCTGTGTAAAAGGTAAACCTGGAATGGTGGGGCAGTGTTGACCCTGCATCATGCCAGCAGTGGAGCTAGTAAAATTGCTGCATCATGCCAGTTTGATGTCTGAAAGCAAAGCGGCGGCTTTGGGGCTAAAGGGCCTGATGCTTTGATGACTGGCCTGTTATTTCTGCAACCTACCACTGAGAATGTTTCTCCTTCAGCATATGTCTTATCGCATGAACATGTTGCCTGCATAAATCTGAATCCCTCACCATAATCATTAACATGTTGTCGAAATTCATGTCATACATTTTGCAAGACTAGCAAAAGCACATGAATACTTTTGCCCGCCAGTGTTTTGAAACAACCCCAGCATGCTTTGTATTTCTGACGCGTATTACACGCCATGCAGGGCATGAGGTTGGATGCTACGCTTGGTAGCTGATCCCTTCTCATTCACTCGTTAGCTCTCTCTCTCTCACCCGTGGACCTCCAACCCTATGTTCTGCCTTGTTCCATTTATATAAGAGGTGGGGTGAATTCCTCTTGGCAAAAATACTACTT